GGGCAGGGACTAGCTGCTGACCCGCGACTCTAGTGGGCCTGTACGATCCGCAGGCATGCTGGGAACCACCCCTCCACCCCAGAGGCTTGCCCAGGGGCCAGCAGCTTCACCTGCAGTCTGGTTTCATCCTACCCCTCCCCAGCATGGATTTGCGTAGTCACATGTTCAAGAAGTCACCATGCCTAAAGCTTCCTTTTTTTCCTAATAAAACGAGGTTTCAACTAACAACACTGGTCACAGATCTCTCTTACAGCCAAGTTTCCCTCACCACCCCCACGGTATTGTTGACCTGAGGGCAGGGACTGTTTCAGTCCCAGAAGTGCCAGACCCTCTAGGGTTCCATGCAAGACCCAACTTCACTATTTTATCCTAATATAGCAGCAACAGGATGCTAACAACTCTGAATGTACATGAAATGTTTTACTAAAGAACTTAACTATATCAAGTGCAGAAGACATAGAGCTGACAGCATTCCCCCTACCTCAAAAAGCACGTAGCCAAATCCTTTGCCGACTCCTGTGACGGGATCTCTCACTATCCTCACTGCCATGATCTTCCCACAGTCCAAAAAGTGCTTCTCAATAGCTGACTCTTCAACTTCTAGAGACAAATCCAACCAAGATGGAAGTAAAACTTGGCATCTGGAGATTTATACATAGCCATGAGAGTAAGTCATTACACTATTCACTTTTTTTCTTTAGAATTATTTTATTTAATTTTATTTATGTATTTATTTAAGTTTGACCAGAGATGGAAAGAGAAAGAGAAAGTGAGAAAGCAAGCCACCAGGTCTGGAACTTGAACTGCAGTTGGCCATCTGGGAGTCCAGCCCCCTAACCATCATGCCAACTACCAGGCCCTACACTATACACTTTAGTTATACTTAAGAGCCACGATTAAGGGAGCTGGATCCCACTTAGCTGTCCACACAGTTCAAAACCTGGGCACAGGGGACCAGCAGTTAATGTAATGGCTATGTCGCTGGACTCCCACGTAGTCGACCACAGTTCGAGTCCTGGACCCGGTGGCTTAAACTCATGCTGGGTGCATATGCATGCGTGCCCAAGATCCCGAGAGGAAAATGGAGGAGGGACTGTGGCGTGGCCATCCTCCCTGGGGGGCTGATTTCTCGCTTTCTGTCTCTCTTTCTGTCTCTGTCTTTCTGGTGAGTGCACACACCCTACAGCAAAAACCTCTAAAAAAAACAAAAAACAAAAAACAAAAAGCCCTGGACACAGCAGCTTTAAAAATAAACTAAACACATGTGCATGCATATGTACATGTCTAAATTCCTGAGAGAAATAGAAGAGAATGGATTTTTGGTGTGGCCACACCCTACTGGGGGCAGGGGGACACTTTCTCCTCTCCATTTCTCTTTGGAGAACATACACACCCTTTGATAAAAACCAGGATTTTTTTAACAATAAATTAAAAAGTTAGTCTGAGGGGCCAGCAGGTAGTGTGGTGGTTAAAATCCTGACTCCCACATGGCTGAGTCCTGGACTTGGCAGCTTAAAAATGCTAGGCACCTATGTGTGCATGCCCAGAATCCCAGGGGAGGAGATGAAGAAGGACTGCATCATGGCTGTCTCGCCAGGGGCTGATTTTTCACTTTCCCTCTCACTCACTCCCTGGTGTGCACGCTCTATGGCAAAAACCTAAAACAAACAAAAAAGGTTAAGTCTTTAAGGCAAAACGTTACTTTCCAGTTTTATTTCCATTATTTGTGTGAAAACACTGTATTTTATTTGAACAAACTTACTGTAAGGGAGATTCCCCACAAACACTGACCTCTTGTCTCTCTGAAACACAAAAATGAATTAAAATTCACTCACCAGGCCAGAAAACAGGCATCACCTCAAGTACCCTGTTCCTCATCCCCTCATATCCAGTTTAACCAGACCCTGGTCTGAGCCTCCTCTATCTTCCTGCTGGACATGAGTGAGCACCAGAGGTGGGGACCAGTCCCCACTGCAAACACCAACGTGCAACGTTCAGCAAAGCTTGCTGCAATGGGACCTGGAAGATTTTTTTCTGCAAAGGACCAGGCTTCACATTTTTTATGCTTTGCAGGCCCAATAGTCTTTGCTGCCATTATTCAACATAGCCAAGAAGGTCAAGAGAGCCTGCAAACAGGAGAAATGGGTGAGAATGTGAGCCCTTCACCTTTCTTATGGACTCTGCTGGGCCCCCAGTTCGGCCAGGGCTCACGTCCCAGCTGAGTCCTCTGATGCTGTAAGAAAGGCACCCATGTTTGTGTGGTGACCCCTTAGGCCTGTCCCGCCTTCATTTCCAGACACCTCTGTCAAATGTAAAACCTGGTCCATTGTTCCTGCCTGTAACCTATGAGCAGCTCCTGGACAGAATCCGCATTCTGGCAGGAAGTGCACGCAAAGCAGGGTCTGCCTGACATGGCCTCACCTCCTAGTGCAACAGCAGCTCCCACCACTGCCTGCCTCACCCCTGCCGTCTCACAACCTTATTAAACTTGCCACTCCTGAGCAGAGTGTCCCCACCATTTAAGCTGTCTTGTCCTGCCTGGCTCCTGTCAGTCCTCTCGACCTTCTCTTGTCCAGATGATGTGTACTTGTCTTTCCAGACTGATACAGCATCCAGTCCCCTAGAAACGTCCAGATCCCGAGTCAAGTGCCCTGAGCTGCCAGAGCACCCCATGCATTAATGACACTGCTCCTCCTGAGACAGCATCAGGATCGGAACCTCTGCTCACCTCCAGAGTCCTGCCAATGGCAGGAGCTGAGGTTCTATCTTAGGACCATGTGCTGAGGGAGAAGTGCTTGAAGGAAAAAATCTCAACTTTCTAGACCTCTATCTATAAAATAAAGTGTCAAACAAGGTGATCTCCCACGTACCTCCCAGCCCAACATTCTGCGATTATTTCATCTAGCGCTGGGATAGAGGCAGACGAGCGGTATTTAAAAAGTGCGTATTATGAAAACCCTATGCATGGTTATGAATTGTTCGGCACCAAAATAAACTCGTACTTTAATTCTATTGGTCCATAGAACTTTCTGAAGCCCCCTTATACTTCAAAAGATGATGACCATGTTCTCAAAGCTGACAGTGGCCCCCAAGCACAAAGGCTCCTCTCTTCTGTGTCCCTCACAGCCGCCCTCCCCTCAGCCACAGCTCAGATGTTTCTTTCCAAGTCTCTAGGTCTGTTCTTCAACCGAATCAAGTATTACTTACAGACGAGGTCTCAGATGCAAGATCAACTCTAATACGAAATCCGTCTGCGATTTGGGCCCCATTTCTGCATTGCAAATATGAGAGGGAAATGGTTGTTAAAAATGAGCCACAAATCAGGACCAGCAGTTGGCGTAATGGCTATGTCACTGGACTCCCACATAGTTAGTCCTGGACCCGGTGGCTTATACTCGCACCAGGTGCTTGTGTGTGCATGCCCAAGATCCCAAGAGGAGAAGGGATTGCAGCGTGGCCATCCCCACAGAGGGGGTGATTTTTCGCTTTCTGTCTCTCTGGCGAGCACATACACCCAGTAGCAAAAACCTCTCCGAAAAAAAAGAGCCACGAATGACCAAAGCACTAGCTCTAAAGTAAAACCACAGAATGAATAAAGCAGGCATACACAACGAGGTGACAATAACTGTTCAAACCCTAAGGACAAAATACCTTTCCAATGCTTTCATGGCAGCACTCTCATCCTTAAACACAACATAAGCATTGATATTTTTCTGATCAGGATGAATTTTGCGTCTACAAAAAAAAGAGAGAAAAACATGTAATTGGTGATGTAAAAGTCCTTTGAACAAATCCAACTTGTTTTCTATTCTTAATCAGCATATGTGATGATCTCTTCAAAAGTCATGACACATTTTTACATAGAAAAATATGTCCATGGGACCAGCAGTCGGTGTAATGGCTGTGTCACTGGACTCTCATCTAGTCGACAGCAGTTCAAGTCCTGGACCTGGTGGCTTAAACTCATGCCAGGCACATGTGTGTGCATGCCAGAGATCCCAAGAGGAGAAGGGATTGCAGCGTGACCATCCCCCCTGGGAGGTGATTTCTTGCTTTCTGTGTCTTGTCTTTTTGGCAAGCACACATGCCCTATGGCAAGAACCTCTCCAAAAAAAGGGGAAAAAAATACGTCCTAGTTTTCTGACAACCCAATATTTAGTAATAACTCAAAAAACAATATACAACTTATGAAGACATTGGTGGAAGCACGTAGCCCACACCTTGTCAGGCTGTGACAAGGGGAATAGGTCCCCCCAGACACTCACAGACACTAATCCCTGAGAATAAGGCCAGGAGTGAACCCACCCTCTCAGCTGCAGCTCCGTGCTCACAGGCAGACCCCACGTGGGACATGAGCTTTCCTCCTCGCTGCCAAGGAAAACACCACACAGAAAAGCACACAACCACAGGGATGTCCACAACCAACCACAGGCCAACGCCCGGGTGGCCCTCACCCACCCAGTCCCAGACCTTGGGCCCCCCTCCCCCGTCGTAGCCCCTCCCACCGTCACAGGAAATGCTCGCGTAGCTGTCTCTATCGTCTGCGTGTGTACACCCAGACATACACAGATCTTCAAATTCACAGAAAACCTGTTCTTTTTTTTTTTGGAGAGATTTTCACTGTAGGGCGCGTGCGCTCGCCGGACAGAGAGAGAGAGACATAGAGACAGAAAGCGAGAAATCACCCCCCAGGGGGGATGGTCACGCCGCAATCCCTTCTCCTCCATTCTCCTCTCGGGATCTTGGGCACACACGCACACGCACCCGGCGTGAGTTTTAAGCCACCGGGTCTGGGACACGAACCGTGGTCGACTACGTGGGAGTCCAGCGACATAGCCATTACGCTAACTGCTGGTTCCCACAGAAAACCTGTTCTTAGGAGAGAAACAGGTGTGGTTTTCAAAATCTTTTTGCACTGGGACCAGCAGTTAGCGTAATGGCTATGTCGCTGGACTCCCACGTAGTCGACCACGGTTCGTGTCCCAGACCCGGTGGCTTAAAACTCACGCCGGGTGCGTGTGCGTGTGTGCCCAAGATCCCGAGAGGAGAAGGGATTGCGGCGTGGCCATCACCCCTGGGGGGTGATTTCTCGCTTTCTGTCTGTCTCCTCCTGGCAAGCACACACGCCCTATAGCAGAAAAACCTCTAAAAAAAAAAAACAAAAAAAAACCTTTTTCACTCCTGTCTGTCGTCTGTCGACAGTGTCCTGAAGCTTGCTAGGGGTCAACATAACTGTCAGGACTGTGGGAGCATGCTGTGCTGGTTGGGGCACTGAGGGCCTTCTGCTCCTTCCAGCGGCTGCACCAAGCCCAGCAGCTTCCAGGTCTGCAAAATGGCCAGGGACTCTGAATGCACTCAGTCAGCCCAAAGGACCCAGCCACAACCCCATGCTCCCCACTGAAGACATCAAGGTAGTGCTCCCTAGTAAAACCAAGGGATGAGTCAAGCAGCCACCCGCAGGATGGAGGAGAGTGCTGGAGGCAGTGCCAGCCAGGTGTCGGTGGCTGCCTCGCCACACTAGCTCGCGCTTGGTGGGATGAAGCCCACTGAGCTTTCCCAGATAGCTCATGGCCAGCACTGAGGCCGACACTCCATTTCTCATTAACACACCTCTGACGTGCTGCTGTCCTTCTGGTTAGGGGAACAGGAAGCAGAGCCTGCTGTCCTGGGGAGCTAGGTGACCGTGACCACTGGGTAAGGGGCAGATGGCCTAGGACTGAACCAAGTCCAGCCAACGCCACCAGCAGCCCTGATGTCTGCACACGGCGTCCAGTCCCAATGTCTTAGTCCACCCTCGAGAGCACAGGCGGACCCAACAATGGAACTGTCCTCACCCAGGGACACCAAGAGCCAGTGCAGCTCTCACCTCTCTGCCTGGCCAGAGTGCATGGAGCCTGCCACAGGAGGGCAAGAACTGGCAGCGCATGACGGCGGCACTCTGCTCCGACCAAACACAGGAAGCCTCACCCTCGATAGGGAGAGCACCCAGCAGCCTGAGGGGCCAGGGTGTGCGGACACTCCCAGGGGACCTGGCTGCTCAGCACTGGGGTGAGATGATGGGCGGCAACAGCAGGGGAGATCCAGCAGACTCCACCCGCCAAGACCAAGACAGAGGAGCTAGGCCTGACAGTCTGGTGGCTACACCCCTGCAGGCCTGTAGCTCACCTCCACTGCTGTCCTCAGGAAGGCCCAGGAGCCTAAGGGCGCATTCCTGGTTCTGTGGCCTAGAGACAAGAGGCCAAAGCATGGCTGGGCGGAGCCCAGATTCCTCTCTCCAGGAGAGGCTGAGCTGCCAGGAGGGCATGGAAAAGGCCTTGAGGCAGGAAGGAGGGGATTCTGGCACAGATGGAACAAAACACGTCCTCCCACCTAAGGTCCAAGGCAGAGCCGTGGTCTCGTAGGCAGGAGACCCTGAGACAGGGAGTCATGGTGCCGGAAGAGCAGAGATAGCAGCCCTCCACTCCCACATGGCGAGAAAGCCGAGTAGCGAGCAGCACCCTGCTCTCTCCCGTGTGACTGTAATGGCCAAAAGACCGGCAGAACCTGAAGGCCGTCAGTGGAGGGATTGTTAGAATAAACTAAGGCCACCACAGAGAATCTAGAAAGTGCTGAGAAAGTCGCGCTTTGACACCAATACGGACAGATCTCCAAGTTGCACCGAGTGGAAAAAGGCCGGGTGGAGCAGCTGCCGGTGCAGGCGCCGCGGAGCTCCGTGCAGGCAGAGGGCGCCATGCACGTGCAGTGTGCCTCTTGGAGGCCACATGGGAGGCTAGGGACAGCCCTAGGTGGCTGGGGGGACAGGAAGAAACTGCCACTGCATACACCACTACTTGTTGATCCTGAACTCTTCATGGCTTATGCAAGTAATTAAACCTAAATTTATAAAAACGGGGAGGGGAAGAGAGGCTGATGGCAATCACTGTACAAATTCCAATTTTCTGGCGACATTCCATGGCAGCGCCTCAGCAATGCCAACACATACTCCAGTCAGAACCTTCGCTTCTTCAGGAAGTTAGGCTGATGGGTCACAGTTCAGTACAGAAATAAAAATCACGGTGGCTCAAAAAGAAGGGCTGTCCCTTACAGAGTTCTCCATTCCCCACAGCTCTGAACGATGCCTCACACCGAGGACGTACACAAGTGGGACCCCCCCCAATCACCTCCAAAGGCACCAGCAGCGCTCTACCCCATGTCAGCGGTACACCGCACATCTCATGGTGACGAGGCACCAGCAGCGCTCTACCCCGTGTCAGCGGTACACCGCACATCTCATGGTGACGAGGCACCAGCAGCGCTCTACCCCGTGTCAGCGGTACACCGCACATCTCATGGTGACGAGGCACCAGCAGCGCTCTACCCCGTGTCAGCGGTACACCGCACATCTCATGGTGACGAGGCACCAGCAGCGCTCTACCCCGTGTCAGCGGTACACCGCACATCTCATGGTGACGAGGCACCAGCAGCGCTCTACCCCGTGTCAGCGGTACACCGCACATCTCATGGTGACGAGGCACCAGCAGCGCTCTACCCCGTGTCAGCGGTACACCGCACATCTCATGGTGACGAGGCACCAGCAGCGCTCTACCCCGTGTCAGCGGTACACCGCACATCTCATGGTGACGAGGCACCGGCAACTGTCTACCCAGTGCCAACAGGGCACTGTACCACCTGAGGACAGCTGCCAGCAAGGACCTACCCAGTGTCCACGGTACACAGCACCATGCTGGTGACGGGCAAGAAGGCCTGGTCTGCCAAACAGCCCCAATCGAGAACGGATGTGCACGAGGTCACCGAGATGCCCACAGGGACAGCGATCGCAACCTTTTAATGCAGGAGTCTGTCTCCACAGTACATTACCAGACTTGACTTGGAAGAAAGACAGCTCTGCATGTAAGACCCCTCGTGCATGTACCATTAAGAGAAAGAGTGCCCAGGATAGGACAGTAACGGGAAACCGCATAAAAGGCTTAGGGTAAACGAGAAGCAAACCTTCCATTCGGAAAGGGGGAGCAAGGACACCCGTACTTCTCAGCACTGGGTGGAGTAGAGGGGGATACTCTGAGAATGTGAGCCATAGCCACACTGCCAGGGTATCCCGCAGCACCCCAGGGTGAACACAAGCAAACATGATCTCTCGCTGAAAAAGCCTGACAGGCAGACGGTGGATTAGGAGACACCCCGACTTGCAGGTATGCTTCACCCAATAGCCACTAAGAGGTGCCCTCGACTCTGGTGAGACTTGGGATTTGCGACGCTACTAGAAAGTTTCAGCTCTAAGCTTTCATAGTCCCTTCAAGCACTGCAGACAGATTGCACTCACTCCTGGTGCAGCTTCCAATAAGTCACTTCAGGGTATTTTCTGCAACTCTACAATTTACATTAAAGAGAAATCCTGGGCAGCAGGGGGCATGGTGGTTAAGGGCATTGGACTCCCACATGGTTGACCATGGTTCAAGTCCCAAACCTGGTGGCTTGCTTGCTTTCTCTCTTTCTCTCACTCTGTCCCTCTCTGGTCAAATTACAATAAATAAATACATAAATAAATAAAAGAAACATTTGTTTTTAAAAAAAGACAACTACCCTACATATTTATGTGCTATTCCAGACCCAAGAAAATAGTCAAGCATGCCACACTACCCAAAATATAAAAAAAAACCTATCGTTAACAAAGGTTCGCAATTGTTCTTTAAGGGCCATAGGACACATGCACTTGCTGGAGACAGACAGAGAGAAGTAAGAAATCGCCCCCAGGGGACAGCCACATCTCAACCTCGTCTTTGTTCCCCTCTTGAGATCCTGGGCATACATGCATGTGCGCCCAGCAGGATTTGAAGTCACCGAGTCCAGAACTCAAACTGCAGTCGGCTCTATGGGAACACCATGCTACCTGTCGGCCCCAGTGGTCACAATTTTTAAGAGGAAGGGAGTTCAAGGCAACAAACCCCCTCCCCCCAATTAAAAACTTACTTTATTGCCGCCAACTTTTTGGATAGAGTCCCCTCTGCTGGAATCTTTTAAGGGAAAAAAAAAAGTATTAAAGAAAATTTAATGTGGAAATATTAGTTCACATTAATTACATTTTAACTGAGGTCTAAATACCCAACTCAAGTATGCTGTGACTAAAGCGTTCTAGGGAACTAAGTCAGAAAAGCCCATCCTGCTGTTCTGTGAAAGGGACCCTGTGGCTTTGCGTGAGAATTTCTGAGGGCGGTTCCTCCTTAGAGCTCAGAGGCAGCGAATCTGACAGCCGGGGCGGCGACAAAGACACCAGGTCCCTGGGCTGGGTCAGGTGGAGACAGTGATGTGGAGCACACACGAGAGCTCGGAGAGCCTCTTACAAAACGAAACAGTGTAAAACCAGTATGCTTTTGCATATCCTACGGAAGTTTAAATATATCTAAGTTGATCACTTTAGTAAGTCATATATACATACATATGCACACACGCATTCTAGTTGGCAAAAATATCAGTGGCATCTTAAAGTGGGCAAGTAAGGAAATCCTTTTTATGTACAGGCTCACTTTATATAAGTCTTCAAAACCTCATAGAAAATGCACTTAGTGGGAAAAATTACACATGGATCTCAATTTTTTGGACTCTATTCACTGCATTTTTCCAAGAACTTTCTGAATTCTCCTTCGGCTATTTAGACAGGGCAGAGCACATAGGGAAATCCTTTCGGGGGAGGCAGAATCAAGCCCACGCCTGTGCCCACCGGCGACATGCACACACAGCCAGGTGCTGAGGGGACCAGGGTGAAGGCAGGACCCCAGTTGATCCTCTAGATGCACTTATGCACAAAGAGCTCACTCCGCGCCCAGAAGTCCCTGCAACCTCTGGGAACTCCTTTCGCTTCTTAGTCCCCAGGGAACTCTAAGTAAAGGAAGACGTCCAATCTATTCTTCCGCCTCTCGGTTTCTCCTGCTCAATTTGTTAAACACAGTCAAACTCTCGGAGTACAGAGAAACGAACAGCACAGGACACGGGGGATGTCCAAGTGACTTGTGTGTAGACATGGGTGACAGACATGGGAGTCACTTCCTGGTGCCTTCTGGGAGCTCTGAAGGGTCCATGCCATGTCTATGCCTTGGACTATAAAGGAGGCAAAAAAACGTTCTCACTCTGCCAAGTACCACAGACATTCTTGACACTTCTCGCAGCACGTCTGACGTCCCAGAATAAGTGCCCACAGTGCAGTCAGGTACGAGCCAAATTCAGAGGAAAGCAGAGTTTTGTAACACACAGTATCAGGAAGGCTAGATGCAGGGACATCTCAATTCTAAGTGCACACAGCGAAGCAGCACTTTCACAGGCAAAACGTGACTCTGAGGGGCTCTGGGGCCAGATGGCAATATGGCGGTGATGCAAGGGGCCCACGAGGGGCAGTCCCAGGCCTCTCCCAGGGCTGCCCTCAGCACAGCAGGCAGAAGGAAGGTACACGTGCCCATGACCTGCCCTGGCTGGGGGTGTGCTGCCAACACAGACCCTGTGGAGGGTACATGGAGGTAACACATCCACAACAAAAAGACTGCAGGAAGATTAAATGAACTGAGCGAAAGGTAGAGGAGAGAGCCCAGGTGTGCAGGAGCACGAGGCGGCGGGCCACCCGTGGAGAAAGTGGAGCCCATATTTCACTGACATGGAGGAGAGCAGAAAGGTTTCTGGAAGCCAGCACGACATTGTTTTCTCGTTTTTGCTTTTGCTATAGGGCTCTTGTCCTCACCAGAGACAGACAGAGGGAAAGTGAGAAATGATCCTCCCCCTCAGAGGGGATGGCCACACTATAATCCCTTCTCCTCCATCAGCCTCTGAGGATTTGGGGCACACTCCACACACACCCAGCATGTTTTCCAAGCTGTCAGTTCAGAACTCGAACAACGTACTTGGCCTCGTGGGATCCAGTCACCTTAAGCACTGTGCCACCTGGCTGGCCCCCTCGACACAGATTTAATAGGCACAGCGCACTGGTGATGCAGTCTGACACTTGACACACGCACCATCAGCACATAAGTGCTCAAAGAGGGACAGGCACTGAGGGTGCGCAGCAGCTGTGGGCATCTGGGGACCCAGGGGCAGGGAGGAGACTGGGTAGGCTCCCCAGACAGGTGAGAGTGCGTGTGCCATTAACATGGGTGGTGGGAGTGGGTGGTGTTCCAGGGAAGAGTGCTTTAGGAAGAGGACAGAGGTGAGCTGTACAAACCAGAAGATTAAAGGCAGGACTGCAATCCTTGTGCTCAAACGTACTGCGAACTCAGGAGTGTTCCAGGAGACCAGCAACGACTCACCCTGGGAGAATCCACGTGGAAAGCCAGCAGAGATGGCCAACTGGGCTGCGTGGGCCAGAGGCGAGCCATGGGTGATCACAAAGTGAGGTGCCATGAACTACAGAAAGCTAGGAGGCACACAGGTGGGCTGGGCAATGGAGTATGCAGACATGCTGAACCTGGGGTATGGCAGGACCACGAGGGAATGTGCCAGGAAGGTCTGACATGGGGAGACAGGACCCCAAATGGCAGACAGACTTAAGTGACAGAAATGGGAAACAACGGACCAGCAGCCGACATGCTGAGAAACACCCCCTTCTAGAACATTTCTGCCCCTGGGGCCTGGGGCGGTGTCTGGAGACGGTCTGGCTAGACTGGGCAGGCTCTACCCACTTGGGGGCAGAGGCCAGGGATGCCGCTGACCTGCCTACAGTGCGTGGGCAGCCCCAGATGCCAGGAGTGGGAGTCACGTGGGCGAGGCCCAGCATGGGTGAGAGCCGCCAGGAGAGGACCAGCACACAGGCTGTGTTTCCTGCATGCCCACATGCAGGAGGCACGACAGCGCTGCTGGAGGACTTGCCACGAGCGTGTACTACAAAGCACACTACACGTGGGTTTCAAAACATATGTTGTACCTAAATAAACTTGGATTTCAATTCCATTTCTCTGTAAGTATTTTTTTTTGGAGGGGGTTATCCATCTCTTTCTTCTATGAGAGAGAAAGAGACATACAGAGATAGCACCCCCACCAGGGTCTAGACACCACCAGATGCCCCAGCCTCAGCCAGCATCGTACCCAGGGCACGTGGGCACCAGCATACTCGGGAAGGTCTCAGATAAAACCTGGAACCCTTCTGTGGGGTCAGCCTCCCGGGCGTCATGTTTTACTGCTGTACCACTGTCCAGCCCCAGTTCTTCTGACTTTCTCAGGGTCCCACATCTGCTGCAATAACTGAATTGACAATAAAATACAAACGCACCATGTCTGGGGACACCAGACACTACAAATGGTGCCTGCTTCACCCCTGCAGGCCGTGGCTGCGACTGTCCACCTCAAAGAATCAGACAACGCTCCCTTAGATGAAGCGGTCACGTTGTCTGATGGGAATGAACACGCCCTCTGCCCCAGGATCGTGCCAGCCTCCCATATTGAGCACACCATCGGTGCAGGCCAAGCGTGCCTCTGACAGCAGAGACAGCCTACTCTGCTGACACAACCAAGTCACCCACCAGCCTCCCTCCAAAACCCACTATGGGTTTAGTAACAAGGGCATTGGTTTAGTTCACAAACTCAATATATGATCAAACGAAGCCTAAGAGTCCACAGCAGATGCTAAGAGCAACTCTCCACTTGGCACACTTGAACTTGCTGACTCGCAGGGCGCGGCCGGTGCGGCCATCTCCCTAGAACCGGGAAGGAGGAAGGCTGGCTGATTACACATGCAGCAACAGGGTCTAAGGCTGTGCCACGCGGGGCGGGAAACGTACCACGGAACGGAAGCGGACAGATTCGACTTGTCCATACTCTTTAAAAAATGACTTCAGAGTCTGAAAAAACAAAAAATCAGAAAATCACTTCAGACTACTTTCAGAATATCAAGTGCTATAAAAAAAGAATTAAGTTGTCTGATAATCTTTTATCGCCAGTTCTTATTTTAAGAACATTTCAGGAAAGACAGTAGGTGACAGTTCAGTTGAAGGAACAATATATCCACTGAAAGTTATATAAAAACAAAACTGAACTCAAGCTCACATCGCTATCCATGAGAAACGTATTTTATCTTTCAGCATTTAAACCGTGACCACATGTGAGTCAAGGTGAACGCCTGTCTTCTGCAGATGTGTCACACTGGTTTAAAACAAAAATGCATTGTAAGGGTGCTAATGTCGGCAGCCCCGTCGTACAGCAGTGCAGCACTGTGCATGTGCAGTCGGAGCCCACACGGCCAACTGCAGTTCAAATCCCAGCCTTAGTACCATGGGAGAAAAAAAAACCACACCATGTGTGCATAGGTGTCCCAGAATCTTGACAGGAGGGAAAAAATAGAAGGAAAGGGATTACGATATGACCATGCCCTATTGGGGGACGGGGGTGTGCTTCCTCTTTCACTTTCTGGTGGCCACAAGAGCCCTCTGGCGACTAAGAAAAAAGTTACAGGGCCGGCGGTAAGCAGCAGGGTGGTTAATTGTGTTGGACTCCCACATGGGCAACCTCGGTTTGAGTCCCAGACCTGGCAGCTTCCTTTCTCTCTCTCTCTCTCCTTTCTTCTCTGTCCCTCTCTGGTCAACGTAAATAAAGTTAAATTAAATAGTTATTTTAAAATAAGAAAAAACTTACAATATAAACGGGAAAAACTGTAGGCTAAAAAAAGGATGTTTATGTCACTATGAGAAATTCTCTGGCTGTTTCTAATTAAGACCACTAGGACTGGGCCACCCAGACGGCACGATGAAAGCAGCTGGTCTGACGTGGCAACTGCACAATCTGGGTCCCAGACCACAGATCGAAAACCACACCAGTTACGAGCATTTCTGTCCCAGACCTGACAGAAGGATGGGAGAGGAGAGACTGGAGTGTGGATATGCCTTTTCTGGGATGCATTCCCACTGCTGCCAACACCCTCATCTCACCTTCACACACACAGCAAATTAAAAAGAGCACCAGACTGAGGAACACTAGCACGCACATTCTATACATTTTGTTTTAAATACAAGAGGGGGAGAGGAAGGGATGGGAGGAAAGGAAAGGGGAGAGAAAGCACCTGAACAGGACCTGGTCATGCCACAAGACGTGAAGACTGCATGTTTTATAGGCAGGACCTAACTTGCATAACCAATGCTAAGTAAAAGATAATTTACTGAAAACTGAACATTTGTGCAAAGCAATGTACCGTGTACACGCCCTTCCTTTGTAAACTACTGGGTTTTGGAAAACATCATGACACATTTTTTGCATAGAAAAACAGAAAAAAGTAAGACATAACTTTTGTTTTTGTTTTGTTTTGTTTTTGTTTTGAAAAGGTTTTCGCTATAGGGTGTGTGCGCTCGGCCAGACAGACAGAGAGAGACAGAGACAGAAAACGAGAAATCACCCCCCAGGGGGGATGGTCACGCCGCAATCCCTTCTCCTCCATTCTCCTCTTGGGATCTTGGGCACGCACGCACACACGCCCGGCATGAGTTTTAAGTCACCAGGTCCGGGACGTGAACCGCGGTCGACTACATGGGAGTCCAGCGACATAGCCATTACGCTAACTGCTGGTTCCCAAGTCATAACTTTTCTAACAACCCTACAATATGCATGTCCATAACCATAACTATGCTAGGAAGCAAAATGTGTTACCTTCCAAAGTGTTTGAAATTCAAACATGTGCTACAAAAGGGTAAGAAAAGAAACACTGCTTTGTTATGGAAGCAGTTTAAATTGGTCTTTGGAAGAAGGGCAAATAGACCAGCAAATGATGTAATAGCTACATCACTGGACTCCCGCAGAGTCGACCCCGGTTCCAGTCCTGGACCCGGCAGCTTAAACTTACGCAAGGCATGGGTGGGTGCGTGCCCAAGACCCCAAGAGGAGAATGGAGAACAAGGGATCACAGTGTGGCCATGCCCGCTAGGTGGGTGTGTGATTTCTCGCTTTCTGACTCTGTCATTCTGGTGAGCGCACATGCCCTATAGCAAAAACCTCTCCAAAAAAAAAAAAAATGAAAAAGAAAAAGAAGTGCCAAGTTCTTCTTTGTCTAACAGAGAAAGCAAAGGTAGGTTTCCCCACCATTAGAGACAGACCAGAGCAGAGCAAAGTCCCATCATACAGACCTCCTGATCGAGTGGGAATAGCTAGAGACAAGGCACAAAGGAAAAGCAGACAGGAGGCACCGCACTCATTCAAAGATGACCTGCAAACGCCTGGAGGGCAGTGCCAACAGGCCTGGGAAAGCAAGGTGGGTATGGAAATCAATCAACAGGAACACGATTCCTGTAGTCTGTTAGCTATATGCTTATTCAACAAAGGAAACAAAATTATGAATTATTAGCTTCTCTCAACTTTTCCAATACACATCAACAACATACTCACCTTTTTATTACATGTGACAGGCAAATTCCCAACAAACACGGTTCTCTCATTCTTTAATCTCTCTTCTTCTGGGTTTACTTGGATTTTCTTCCTTTGACTTACAACTCTGTGATCCACATCACAATGATCTTTTCTAACTCCTTTAACAGCAGCTTGAGAGGTCTGCTCTTTCTGTCCGTGTTTCTGGTGAACTTCTTCTAAATCAGCACTTGCTAGAGCACTTTCCCTTTTTAAGGCAAAAACGAAAGAAAATAGGAAGCGTTATGGAAGTTCGGTATGGCAGGTGACAAAGCACAGTTCTCCTCTCCAGTAAGTACTTCCCAGCCACTTCTGGCTTCCCTAAGCATAAGCTTGCCACTCAATAGACAAACTTGAAAGTAGTATTATCAAAGATGTGACTGGGGGACCAGCAGTTAGTGTAATGGCTATGTCGCTGGACTCCCAGCGGTTCACGTCCCGGACCCAGTGGCTTAAAACTCACGCTGGGCACGTGTGTGTGTGTGCCCAAGATCCCAAGAGGAGAATGGAGGAGAAGGGATTGCAGCGTGGCAATCCCCCCAGGGGGTGATTTCTCGCTTTCTGTCTACCTGTCTCTGTCTGTCTCTCTGGCAAGCGTACACACCCTATAGCAAAAACCTCTCAAAAAAAAAAAAAAAAAAAAAAAAAAAGTTTTTGGAGATTTAGTTTACACCCTGTCATGAAAGTTCTCACTCTGCTCCAGAACATTAGGGACACTAACCTCCCAGGGGTGTAGAAAGGCAAAGGTGACCACAGAAGACCTACTTGATAAAAGGAATCTAGTCAACAGGAAAAATCAGCTTCACTACTTTTAAGTTTCAAAATATGGTAGCATGATGGGTCAAGGCGAGAGATCCCACATGAGACTGCACAGCTCACGTCCCAGATCCAGCAGCCTGAGAAACAAGCCAGGCACATGTGTGTGCATGTGTGCGTGCGCAAATTCCCAAGAGGAGACTGGAGAAGAGACTGTGGTGTGGCCGTTCCCCAGGGTGTGGTTTACTACCCTCTCTGTCTCTCTCCAGCAAGTGCACGCGCCTTACGGCAAAAACTCTTAAAAAAATTTAAAAAAAAGTTGTATGCAGGATGTTCAGAAAGTTCACAGAAGTGCAATTAAGAAAATCTGGGGGCCAGAGTACAGCACAGGGGTGACACAAAACTGCAAAGTCACCCCCATGGGAAAGCTCCAGGCTCACAGTGGAGACCTCCCTAAGTGCTGGCACCATGTGCCCTCGACCAGGGACTGGCTGAAGCTGGCAAGGAGTCACAGCAGGAGGACCCTGTCAGGTGTCTGACGTTCTGTTTCTCCTGCCTCAAATACATTTAAAAACAGGAAAAAAATGATATAGGTATCAAAAGTCTTTTGTACAAAAATAAATTCGTGCTTAATTCCATTTACCTGTGACCTTTTCAAAGTCCCTCAGATTAAAGAACTATTGGCAGACGGCCCCATGGCCAAGTGGTTAAGGAAGCTGGGCCCCACAGCCAGTTGCATGTTCACATCTTAGTCCAATGGTTTGAAAACATGCCGGAACACGTGCATGAGTGTTCAGAATCCCAACAGGATGGAGTAATGGTGAAGGGACTGTGATGTGGCCACGCCCCACATGGGGGTGCTTTCTCTCTCTTTTGCCCACTAGCAATTAAAAATAAAGTGGCTGACTCTAATTACTCCTCTATTGGACCATAATCGCTACTACAGAAAGGGCCCGTGACTGTTTCATTCGCCGTGTTCACAATGTTCCCACCGGGGTGAGAGGAAATGGGATGGCGTGTGAGGCGAGAACCAGGCTGAGGCGGCTGTCTTATGCCAAGTGTTTAGATCTCATCCTACTGAAGGCAGGGAGTCACTGAACACCGAGAGCACCTCACAAAGAGCGTTCAGACGGCAGCGAGTGAAGGGAGTAAGGCTGCAGGGGCACACCGGTGAGGAGACAGTGACAGCAGTGAGAGCCCAGGAAGCTAACAGGCACCCACAGCAGAAGATGGAAATAGCTGATCACGGACAGCAGAGGGACACTCCCTGGCTCAGCAGTGATGTGCTGCTCAAGAGAAGCCACATCTCAGAAAACAGCCCTGATTGAAACCCTGGAGCCCAGTCAATCAGAAACACACCCAGCAAAAGCATGAGTGCCCAATGTCTGATGGCCTGGAGGGCTGGGAGAAAGGGACTGGTGTGTGCCCCGACCTGTGGAGGTGCTCGTACCTCTCTCCCTCCGACACACGTCTCCACCATGAATGAAATGGAGGGGAAAGGCCTGCATCGTCAGGACTTGCCTATGCAGGGAGAAGAAAAAGCAGAGACCTGGACCCCTCCCTCAGGCAGCCAGAAGACTGGTGTCCATTCACGCAGAGAGCCAGGTCTGGTGAGGACTACGAGCTCAATCTGAAGTATTCTCATCTTGAGAGCCATCCATAATTATGGGTGCAGATGCCAGCAGGTGAATAAACATACAGGTCTGGAGAGCACGAGAGAGATCATCGTGGGCACAAGGGACACTGCCCACGACAAACGAAAGATGACCAAGGACAAGAACCTTGACAGAAATCAACATTCAAGGAGCAGTCTGAGAGGCAGATGGACAAAGGCTGTGCTACTGCCTGCTACCCATGGCAACCAGGCTGGGCTGGCTCACTAAGCACTCTCTCACAGATAAGGTGAAGGCAGTAAGGAAAAAAAGTCAGACTGCAAGCACAGAAAAATAATCAGACCAGGTAAAGGAAGAGGCCAGGCACTGGCATGGCACAACGTGAAGCTCAGATGCTGAAGCACACAGGAAGGTCCCAGGTTTGTAACCCCAGATCTCCCTACGCACAGCAGGCGTGCAGGTGCCTGCATGCCATGTTCCTGGCTGCCTGTGGTTGGAGGTGGAGCATAGTACGAAGATCCTATTGGAGTCTGGGTGTGTGTGTCTCTCATGGAAGAAGTGAATAAACACAGAAGAACAGCGAGAGTGCACAGGAAGACTACTTTTTGTAAAGCTTGACTAAGAAAGGCCTGAGGAAACAGTGGCAGAGACATAAAACTCTACCCAGGATTTCTCTGTTTTTTTTTTTTTTTTTTTAATGAGAATCTTGAGGATTTTTATATTGCTGGAAGATCAAAGACAGGAAATAGGAGAAACTGATGGCACAAGCCCTGAGGACACAGAACAGGAAGGTACACAGCACAAGCAGCTGCGATAAGCCTGGGCAGAAAAGGCCGCCCTCCTCTGGAAGGAGAATGAGGGCTATGCACAGACGCCCTGAGTGTATGCAGAACACAAGGCGGGAGTTCACGACTGCGAACCATCGAGGGCTCTAGGGCCAAGAGGTCCGTCTGCCAGAGGGCAGAGACAAGGAAACAAGGGGTGGAAGAGAACGGCAAAGAGAGGAACAGGAAGAGCTAACTGGGAACATGAGAGGGCACTGTAGGCTACAAGGATCAGGACACAGGACACAGGACACAGGACACAGGACACGAAACGCCACTCGGGTTATCGGGAAAAATTCGGTCTGCGCGTTTTAGAAAACAAGTTCATGGTTTATATGCATGCTGAAATATTTACATGTGAGAAGTCTTAGGTTTGCTTCCATTCTACGGATGAGTAGGGCGAGGATGAAGAAATGTGCCCAAGCACTAGAACCCGACGCTGGCTGGGTCCACGAGGGTGCCGTGTGCATCCTTTCCAACGTGGGTAAGAATTTTTGAAAGAAACCACTGGAAACATGAAATGAGAACTAAGGCGAATACTGCAGGTCCAGAACTTGAACTTACTGTCCAGTTCCTTACACCAACCTGTTCGCCAAGTTCCTGTCTGCCCCAGACAGCCTCCTCTTCTTCACTTGGGCTTCTTCTGCCGGTCCTGCTTGCACACGCGGTCTCCGGAGCTGCGATGTGCTTTCCTCTTCTCCGACCCGTTTCCTTTTCTTGGTGTTTTCCTTCTAAAAGTCTGCAGTTACGCTCGAGACCTCCCGGCTCCAAATCCCGACCAGGCCCGTCTTCCTGGACTAGCGCCCCTTCCCCACCGAGGACCGAAGTGGCCCGGGGAGCCTCCCGCTGCCGCCTGCCCTCGGAGCCGCGCGGAACGCACCGGGACTTACCCTGGGCACCGGCACGAAGGTGGGCTGCAGCTGCGGCCTCGCGGGGCTGAAGAGGGCCGCCAGGCGCGCCGCGCGGCCTCCGCGGGAGCCCTCGCCGCGCCCGGCCCCCGCGCGCCCCGGGTGCCCCCCGCCCGCCGCGGTCTCCCTGGAAACGGATGCCACACACACGGCCATTGCACGGCCGCCAGGGCCGAGTCCACGCGCCAGCCCCTGCGGGTCCACGCGCCCCGCGCCACTCACCCCGGCTCCGCGCTCTTCTTCCACGAGCCCTTTCCTTCCGAGGCCATCACCGCACGCAGGCACAAGGCCCGTACTTCCGGGAGCCCGCAGCTTCTGCGGCCAGGGCCCACCCCTTCCGGCCTGTACCACACGGAACTATGGGCGTGGCGTGGGAGAGCCTGGGGCGGGGCGTGCAGGGGCGGGGCGGGGCGTGAGTGCGCCTAGGGCGGTCCGTGGGTCGCGCCTGCGCACTCCGGGCTGGTTTTGGGCCCAGTGCGGGGAGAGGACCGGACTCCCGGAGGCGCTGAGGTCTCCACCACTCGTTGGGCTGCCTGGGAGGCGGCGACCTTCGGAGCACAGGAGAAACGTACGGAAACCCGTGATCGAAGCGGAGGGGAACGGGGTTCTGCGTATCTCAGCCGGAGAGCTGAAGGCGCTTTCAGCTGTCCTAAAGTTTAACATTATTTCAAAATAAATTAAAAACAGAGCGCAGCGGTAACCGATCACATCCACTTACCGCTGCAGGGCGCTTAGGCCGCCAGGCGCTCCGACGGGACGGACCCTGGCGCTGGAGACCGCGCTGGCCTGGGTTGCTTCCGGGCCTCGGCCCGCAGACCTGTGTTCCGCGCGCTTTCGGTGCTGCCTGCCCACCCTCGCCTCGGTCTACACACGCCAACCTCCGTCTGCCGCCTGGCCCCAGTGATCTCGGTTTTCGGAGGTGCGGAAAACCCACAGTGCGTGAGATGCAGCTCGCTTGTCTGTCGCAGGCGCGGGACGGACGTCCCCGCTTGCGCTCCTCCGAACAACGCAGGGCCCACGCGTCTGCACTGCGACCCCCGGCCTCCCCGTCAGACCCACCTACTCGGTTCCCCAGCCCCTTCTGTGCAACCTCAGCCCCGCCTCGCCCTCACACCTTCCTGAGCTGCCAGAGGGCGCGCTGCTCTCCAAGGACGCCGCCATCCAGGAGCATGCTCAGGCCTGGATCCCGTGGCCTTGGTTTCATCCCACCAGGATTTCCGCAGGTTTCTCAGGCCGGGACTCGAACTGCTGGCTTCTCAAGCACCACGCTGTGGGGCCTCCCTGGGCGCCTGCCTTGGTTGCATGCTCCGTTATGCCCACAGCTGTACCCTGAACTCCTCGGGGTGCGTCTTCCACATGCCCCACGTGCGTGGCCAGAGCGCAGACTCGGGACAGCTCAGCGACCTCTTCACCGCAACAAACCAACCCCTCCGAGTTTCTTAAAATGACTCTTCATTGAAGAACAGTGGCGATTTTTTAAGATATCTTTGCCTTAGGACACATGTACTCACCAGAGACAGGAGGAGGGAAGGTGAGACATCACCCTCCCCGTGGCCACGCAGCAATCCCTCTCCTCTCCTTCTGGGATCTTGGGCACGCACTCAGCGTGATTTTCAGGCCTCCAGGTCTGCGATTTGAACCCTGAGTGGGCCATGTTGGAGTCCATCAAGAAAACCGCTACCCCATCTGCTGGCCCCAATAAAAACATTTTTTAAAAAGAGTACAGGTAGTGTGAGCACAGAGAGAGACAGACGGTGAGAAGTCACCCCTGGGGGATGGCTACACTGCAATCCTGGTCCTCTATTCTCCACCAGGGGATATTGGGCACAGAAGTGCCTGGTGTGAGGCTTAAGCCACCAGTCCAGGACTCACACCTTAAGTCGGCCACGTGGGAGTCGAGCTGGATAACCATTATGCAGTCTGCTGGTCCCAACAAAAACAATTTTTTAAAAAGTTACGAATTTCAATTCTGATTCACCTTTCCAAGTATCCCTAGCTAAGAAAATGAACAAGATCCCATCCACTAAGAATACTTCAGTAGGAAAAGAAAGTTTCGGGAGAATACTGTGAGAAACACGATAATCGATTAACTTTATAAGGTAATAGAAACTAAATTCGAATTAATAAAGTGCTGTTTAGGGGACTAGGCATAGACAAGGGTCAAATTCTAGTAATACGATGAAATTCTTGAGCACCCTGAAAAGGTCAGGAAGAGCAAGAAAGCCTGTGGGAAGACAGGGGTCCAAGAAAATAAATCTCAAACAAGTGATTCCATTAGAGATCATTCCCCACTCCCACACTGTTTTTCCCCAAGGAGGTGATGGGCAGGAGTCCCCTGAAAACCAGGACTTGTAATCAGGCAGGACTGAAGGGTAAAGGGAGTCAGTGAGCCAGCTGTCTCCCCTTCAGACCGCTTCAAAATTTTGGGTAGCTAAGGCTGACTTTCTAAGGAACGAATGTGCTATAGCATTTGCAAACCATTTCACAATAACTTCCCAGAGCATTTATAGAACTCGTTTGGGGATGTATTGTTCTAATCTTAAAAACTCATCTCTTAAACCGACATCTGTGAAAATGCAGGTCCCTCCCAAAGATGCTTTAAAGGTACATGTTTGAGCTTTTAGACTTTTTAAAATTATATTTTCTTCTATGATTTAATGATTTTCTTTGGGTGGAAAGCCCACTAAATGGAACCCAAACACTAGATTATTGATTTAAAAGGTGTGGGGCCTTGGTTCCCAGCCCAGATGTGTATTCAAATCACTGATGATCTTTTTTTTTCAAAAAAGAACATCCAGGTGCCACTCCAGTTCAAAACGTGACTTTCAGGTGGGGTCAACAATGTTCAGCAGATCCCAAGGTGCAAGAAAGTAGAACACATTACAGAATAGAGACCCACAAAGGTCCATGCTGGTCATGGCTTTAATTGTTAAAGAAAAAAATTAAAAATATATTATTTGATTTTCTTCTTTGGTCAAAACCCCCAAGTCTTAAAAATACTTATATTCACACTCAAGCAAAATAGCATATGCAAAGACATTCGAATGCCTACAGACCTCTCACCCAGTCGGCTTTTTACATCTTTACGCGTGCAATACTCCCAGCTTTGTAAGTCAGTTAACTCCTTGTGAATTACTAACTAATACCTGTTGGATACATATGTTCCATTCAATCACCACATAAAAAGGGAACAAAGGTACTTCATCTTTTAGAAACAAAATCAAGGATTCACAAACTATGGCATTTTATTTCAGAGCCTTTGCTTACATTTGTACAATATATTACACAACTCTTCATTGTTTGCAGATCCTAATATATACTTTATAGCTTTTATTCTATAAGCTTTTTCTTCAACATTTTGCTGTCAACAAATCTTTACAATCCTGTACAAATTGGAGTAACTTGAAACCATTTTCAACAAAATTAGTTTACTGTAAGCACACACTATAAGACTGAAAAGGCTTTTCTTAGAAAAGTTGAATGTAAAGGATTCTGACACGTTAGCATCTACAACAAAACGCTTCGAAATTCTCACGTCGTATTGTCAGAAAACAAACAAAACATGCCAGCCCCATCCAAATAAAGTACACAGAACTACAGTTAAAACAGTAAAACAGCCTGTACAGTAAAGCACTGTGTAGTAACAGTGCCAGGTATTAAATAGCTTGAATGAACACATCCGCAATATACAAGTGTCATACAAAGGTGAGGAGTTAAATACAAGTGCCAAAAAGAACAGAGATTGGGGTCATACAACGTAAAGTCCATACAAGCGAAAACAATTTGTGTTCATTTTGGATTTTATACAAGGCATTTAACTTTATAGGCCTTCCACCCCATTAGCTATTTATACTTAAAATAACAACCATCCTCTTGAGACAGTTCATTATCAACAACCTTTAACCACACTAATACAGTTTTTCCTGAAATCCTTTTGTTGTAGCTCATAATAAAATAAGCAATACAAATGAATTATCTGTTTTAAGGGAAAAGAAACATTTACAAGAAAACACAAAAATATAACTGTTATAATTCATTATGAATAAATATACACTTTGAACTGGCTAAGTACAATCTTTATACATTGTTTAAGATTTAATACAGTTTATTAGCCATTTTCTTTTTTCACACAATGTATTATATCAAAATTAAAAAAAAATACTGATTTATAGAAAAATGGCAAAGTACAGTAGTTCCTTTCCAATTTGAAGGGGCATGAAAAGCCACTGCAAGACGTTTTTGCCTAATTCAAACCTGTAAACACGTTCAGTCTTTTTAAAAGAGAATCTTCACTATTTGGTTACCAGGACTGATGTCTAACATCCTGTTAACTGCAGGTTTTGAATTGATTACATGTGCTTGACTTATACAATTAAAGCCACCCTAAGGTGACTTGTTTTAAAAAACAATTCGCTTGTACAAATGAAAATAGGTTCATATATTTTTCATAAATAAATGGAAAAATATCAAATGTTCCAGCTTTAACAAAATACAAGGGATACGTATACAGTGAGTCCTCGTCGCCCGTTCTGGCCCACCCCCCGAGTACGCTTACTGCATTGTCGTAGGCAGTGAAAAGCCTCCACCTGCCGCAGTGGGAGGCCTTCAAGTTACCAGACACACAATTCCCAGACAAGTTGGAAACAATTATTGCTTGAGGAAAAGCAGTTCATTGTACTTTTTCTTCATAAAAAAGTGCACTTAAGTGCCAAGTCAGCTTGTCAAGAAACAGTTTTAAATATAAAATAGTGCTTGTCTGATTTTTTGTGCCACTGTGCAGTATAAAAAAAGACGTGGCCCTCAACAGCCATTAAGTGCAAAGTGCTTTAGCAAGTCCTGCCGTCACCTGCACTCAACTGACACTCCATTTTGTGATGCGCCAGACATAGACGGTTCAGCTAAAGTTAACATAACAGCAGCCGTTATGGAACTGGATGAAGGTGAAGAGGAGGATGAGGATGTAGCAGCACCTAAGGAAACGGGAAACCAAACCAAGAGCGAGGTCACAGGCGTGTCTAACAGAGGGGGCACGGTCCTCTGAACCGAAACTCCGTTTCTCTCTCCAAATCACCTGGCTACGGGCAGTCGGTCCTCACAGATTGCATCTCAAGCAGCTCGACAATCTGACGCCAGGAGGAGGAGGGAGCATGAGTGGACTAGGGAAAAGTCTTCTGTGGATCAAGCGGGCGCAAAGTGCTGTGCCCAGGGGTATTTGCCATGGAAATAGAACAAAAATACACTTTCCATAAGAATAAAACATGCTGGGGACACAGGGCTTAGGATGGCCAGATCCTACATGGCCAACTATGCAATTTGAGTCCCGGAAGTGGTGGCTTGAAATTCGTGTCGGGGCACATGAGAATGTGTCCACAATCATGAAAGAAGAGGAGACTGCAGTGTGGCCATCCCCCATGGGAACGCTTTCTCACTTTCTGTCTCTCTGGGGAACAAATACACCCTACGGCAAATAACAAGCCAACAAGATCCTAAAAACTCCCAAAACCCTCTTCCATTCTTCTTTCTGCACTGGGAATTTTCTTTTATAGTAAAATTGTGATGAAGGCTGGTAGCAACAGATGGCATAGTGGTTATATTGCTGGACTCCCACATGGCCAACTGCAGTTTGAGCCCCAGACCTGCTGTCTTGAAACTCATGTGGAGTGCACACGTGTGCATGCCCAAGATCCTAGGAGAAGAAGGGAGGGGAAGGGATTGTGGCATGGCCATCCTCAGCAGGGTGATTTCTCACTTTCCCTCTCACTCTCTCTCCCTCTGGTGAGCACATGTACCCTACAGCAAAAACTTCTCCAAATTGTGACGAAGGCTGTTTTATTTTTAATTTGACACAGGGCATATTTGCTTGGGGTAGGAAAGAACGTGAGAAAGCACCTCCCACATGGGGAATGGTCATGCTACAATTCCTTCTCCTCCATCTCTCTTTCCTGTAGGGATTTTGGACGCTGAGCACACATTCCAAGCATTTCTCTCAGGCCACTGGGTCTGTGACACTAACTGTGCAGTCAGCCCTGGGCGATTCAGCTGCCTTAATGAGCAGGCCATCAGCTGGCCCACGGTAATTGTTTCTCAAAGCTAAAACTACCACAGCCCAGACAGGGGAGCACCTCCTGGTTTTCACCCCTCCTCAACAGGCTGGGGCTGTGTGGGAGGCCAGCACTGACACGAGAGTGGTTCCTGTAGGCCAAGCTACTCAGGAGACAGACAGGACTGGGACACAGCAAGACCCTGTCTGGGGAAGGAAGCTGGAAGAATCCACAGCGCACCCACTTCATTCTCCTCTGCGTGATTTACAAAGCTAATGAGCTACTTTTTCAGGAAAATACTCTCACTGTTATCAATTGTGTTCGAAAGGGTATTTTTAAGGAATATATACACAGGTAAGAAATACATCCAGTTCAAGAGCACAGGACAGAGGAATAAATTTAGCTCTCATGCAAGACACTCCTAATCCTCTAAATTCCCCTCCCCCCATCACCAGTTGGTTCATACCCTTTAAACTCTAGAAGAAAGGCAGATTTGGGCCCCGGCCCAAATCTGGCCTGCTTTTTGGTGTAAGGCAAGATGAATCAGAGCATAGCGGCCACCACTTGCTTCCCCACGGGCCACGGGGGACATCACGCCTGAAACAGCAGAGATCGGCAGTGTCCACACAGACCCTAAGGCCCACAAAGCCTGACGTTTGCTACCCATCTTCTTAAAACGGAGTTTGCAAGCCCTGTTCTAGAGGATTTTCATCTCTGGAATCTAAAGTATGCAAATTTAAAATATGTAGCTCCAACAACATTTCCTAAAACAAGTAAAAACATGGTAAGCTGTCTACCTCTTAATTTTTTTAACTCAACAATGTATTTAAGACTGTTCCATATTGGTACCTAAAGATCTTTTTCCTTTTCAAAACTGAATATTCTGTTATTTATTTAACTTACTTAACTTCCAGTGCTGCTGTCACCAATAACAATGTAATAAATATTTTATGCATTATAAATTTTATTTCTAATAAAAAAATTTACTTTTCATCAAGTTGATCACATAATTGCTAGTACTCAGTGAATACACTTTTGGCCGCATATTGTCCCTTGAAATTTATTCTGAGAACTGAAATGACCTCGTTCTCCCAACGCAGACAGAATGCTTTCTGAGGTGACCTGCTGATGCTTCTAGCAATACACACAGGACTCTAACCCAACTTCTCCAGGCACTAACTTCGGTTTACTTATTTATTTATGTGTGTGTGGGTGTATATGTATACACACACTAACACATATATATATTACATACATATATCTGGCACATATATCTGTAACTATATATATAAGATATATGGTTGTCAAGAAAGTTGTGACATATTTTTGCATTGCAACATACAGAAAACAATACATTATGACTTTTCTGACAATTACATATAATTTTCCCTAAGAATGATATATTATTTGATTTACATTATTTTGGCAACCAGAATAAGCACTTTCTATTATTATTCAATGTTATTTATTTGCTTATTTAATAACTTTATTTATGAATGAGAGACAGGGCACGTGCGCTCGCCAGAAAGATAAAAAGAGGGAGACGGAAAGCGAGAAATCACCCCAGGGGGATGGCCACGCAGCAATCCCTTCTCCTCCATTCTCTCGGGATCTTTCTTGGGCCGGCACGCACAAGCACCCGGCGTGAGTTTGAGCCTCCAAGTCCAGGACTTGAACTGTGGTTGACTACATGGGAATCCAGCAACGTAACCATTATGCCATCTGCTGGTCCCAGATTTTATTTTTTCGAAGTTGATTATTTAACCTATTTCTGCCATAAGAGAGAGAGAAGACCCCCAATGGGACTCTCTGCCATGACACACCCAAGCCTCATGCAGCCTGGATCTCTCCTATCCTTCTCTCTCTCACATGCACACACAATATAACTAGGCTTGAAAACAGACAACTCCAGACACAAAAGAAGGGTCTGCCCATGAGGATCAGTATCACAGAGTGCTCAGTGACTGCTGTGCCACTATTTCCGACGTCCACTGATGTGTGACAGTACTTAGAAACTGACTGACTGGGACTAGCAGTTGGTATAATGGCCTTGTTGCTGGACTCCCACATAGTCAACTGTGGTTCGAGTCCAGGATCTGGTGGCTTAAACTCGCACCAGGTATGTGTGCCTGCGTGCCCAAGATCCCAAAAGGAGAATGGAGGAGAAAGGATTGCAGTGTGGCCATCCCCCCTAAGGGGTGATTTCTCGCTTTCTGTCTCTCTGTCTCTGTCTTTCTGGTGAGCGCACATGTTCTACACCAACCACTTCTCAAAAAAGAAAGAGAAAAAAGAAAAAAAAAAAAAAAAGAAACTGACTGACTGCTAGCTCCCCAGGGAAATACGCATTTGGTATTATTGCTCATTTAAATTTGTGGTGGCCATAGCAACAAAGCAGTCTTGAAGGAGCAATCTGAACAGACCATAGATAGTCCTTCTCTCTCCTTTATGATAGGCTGCATGTACTCTCCAGAGACGGACAGGGAAGAGACAGTGAGAAACTCTCCCACCCTCCAACCCAGGGAGGATGGTCACACCACAATCCTTTCTCCTCCATTTGCTTCTTGGGGTTTTGGGCACGTATGCACATGTGCCCAGTGTGATTTTCAAGCCATCAGGTTCAGAATTCAAATCACGGAGTCAGTCATGTGGGATCCAGCCATCTTAACCACCAGGCCACTGCTGGCTCCTCTGGCTAGGTATTTTATTCAACCAGAAATGCACTTATAAAAAGACTTGGTCACCTCAGAATGAGGAGCTCTAGTGAAAGCACAGATATAGTGCATTAACTGTGATTGATCCTGTTACTTTAAAACGAATATTTGACATCAAACGCATAAAACTAAATCCCCTTCCTTCCAACACAATGCTTCTATTGCATATATTAACAATATTAACATTTAATTTCTTTTCAAATACTCTGTAACTCAAATAGACTTTTGCCCACTCCACAAATCAAAATGCCAAGACTAATTAAGGTGGAAAGAGCTAACCCATGTCAAGACATCAGAAGTGGGAAAAGGTCGCGTAAAGAAAATGGAAGTGGGGCTGGCTCCACACACAGCAGTGATATGCTGCTCAAAAGCAACGGGACCTGGAAAACATCCCAGGCCATGTGCAAATACCCAAATTCAATGGGCTGGCAGAGCCAAGGAAGGGGATCACAGCGTGGCCAGGTGAGTGAAGCGTACTGACCTTTCTCCTCACTCTCTCCTCTCCTGCTCACGTGTGTGCACACAAGCTCTTCCATGAATAAAAATCAAAAAGGAAAAGAAAAACCAAGTGCTGCAGAGGACAGTAAAAAAGAATGATGGGAAGCAAAGTCCATGCAGCTTGGGCTGACTGTGACACAGTCTCCCCCACTGCTAGTCCAACTCTCTGCTCCCCTTCATAACAAAATTTGAGGTTTCCCTGGGGTTACTCTACTTCTCACCTCTCCATCCATCCTCAACCTCCTCCAACTCAGCTTCTCACTCTATAGCTCCCTAAAAAGACTCTTAAAAATTTCAGCAATTACTTCGACATGGACACCACCTCCTTGGCCTTGCACCACCATTTTAGACAGCTGGCCACTCCCCACCTGCTAGACCACAGGCCTCACTCCTGCATCCAGCACATCCCAGCAAAGGCAAGGCTGAGAGCTCAACACTGTCCATTGTTATCTGTAGCGAGCACAGGCTGGCGCACGACCCCATCAGTCCAGTGCACTCCTCTAGAGTGGCTCTGTAGACGGCAGCCAGTGACCTCTATGCAAACCATGAGTCCACCAAGTCACTGCCCTGCTTCGACCCAGTTCACTCAGGATGAAATCTCAGCTCCCCATTCAGGCCCATGAAGGCCCACATGGTTTGGCTTCTGCTAAGCAGCTGGTACTTCTACCAGCTCACACTGCAGCAGCTGTCTTCTACAGCACAACGCACATTCCACTGTAGAGTACGGCCCTCGGTCTGGGTGATTTTGACCCCACACCCTAAGGCTATTTAGCAACGTGTGGACACATTTTTGGTGGTCACGACTGTGGGGTGCTACTGGCATTAGTGGGTAGAGGCCAGGGAGGCCATTAAACATACTGTCGTGCGTAGGACAGCCCCACAGCAGAGTGGGGTTTGAAATGTCAATAATGCCATGTCTGAGAGAACCCGTCCTGGAAGTGCTGCTCTCTCTCTGCCTGGGTATTATGACTGCACTGCGTCTCCCCAGAATTCTGTGTTGAAGCCCTAACTATCAATGTGCCTAATACAACAGTCCCATGTTTTTCAACCACTGGGTCAAGGACTCTATGCGTACAGTTGGCCACGTGGTATCCAGCTGCCCTAACATCTATGCCACCTGCTGGTCCCTTCATTTCTGGACAGAATATAAACCATGAAAGTGAACATGGTAATTTAAGCTACTTTTTAAATTTGAGGTAAGATGTATAGATAAGGAAAATAAGGCAGGAAGATTAAAGTACTTCCCTGAAGGTACACGAAGATAAGACGCCTATTAGTCTAACTGCAAAGGCATTAACTCTGGTCTACGTTTAAGTGAGGTAAAAATACTTACTTTCTCTCTCTTTCTTCTTTAAGCGCTTTCTCCTCCGATCGATGGAAGCTACTTCCGATTTTAATGACAGGTAATGCTTTCTGATTTCTTGCAGTTTTTCTTGAAGCACTGTTATGCGTTCAGCACTTGTCATATTCTCCAGGTCCGCTGTGAATTTTAAATCTTCATTAATGTTTGAGTATTTTTGAAGAACTCCCAACATATAAAATAGAGAGCACAGCATGGTTGCAGAGTGAGGCTGAGGCACATACACTAAACATCTACGCTGTCGTGCTTCCTATGTCTTTGCCTAGTCCCGAACAAGCCGCATCTGCCACAGCGCTAACATGGTGTGAAGGCATGCGGGGGGGGCTTTCTGGCTACAGATGCGTAGGGCAACCTCCACGTGCACATGCGCATCGCCACAGCATAGCACTGAAGAGAAGTTCATACTTGAAATAAGGCAGGAAAGACACCAACACGTCAAACATTCAAGTGTTTTATATGACTGTGTATGTTTTGAGTAGTAAGACTGTGGGTAAATTTTTCCCTGTCTTCTTTGTGTCATTTTTAATTCTGTATGTGAGTATGTGTGACTTTTAAATTGGAAAAAGGTTCTAAAGCAATTTTCTTTCTTTTTTTTTTTTAAAGAGAGATTTTTGCTATTGGGCATGTACACTCACCAGAGACACACAGAGATAGAAATGAGAAACCACTCCCCCACCCCAGGGGATGGCCACACCACAATCCATTCTCCTCTTGGGATTTTGGACACACACACATGTGCATGGCATGAGTTTAAGCCAGTGCATATGGACTCAAACCATGATCAGCTATGTGCGAGTCCAGCAAGGTAAACACTATGCTGTCTACTGGTCCTGCTAAGGCAATTTTCAACAGCCGACAGATACTGGAGGTGGCTTCCCTGTGAGAGAAACTCACTCCTCTCATCACTTAAACCAAATTAAACCAAATTAAACTTAAACCAAATTCATGATACTGTATCACAATTATCTGCTCTGTGCTGATATTTGCCTCAATTGTCTTAAAAGTTTACTTTTGGCACTTTGTTTATTCTAATCATGATCCAAACAAGATTACACCTTGCAACTGGTTAGTACTTCTCTTAATTTGATCGGGTCACCTCTTGAGAACACTGACTTGCTCAAGGCTTGCTAAGATGCAGTTTTCGACTGCTTCACTGTCCCAACGTCACTTACACATCTGAAAGCTCCATTTGTAAACCTTGGGTAACCGACTGCTGGGTTCCTTGAGGTCAGGGTCCTTATCACCGTTCTTCCCACACTTCCCAGGCGACTGTGTTCTTGCTGGAGATTTGCTGCTGTGAGACTTCATTCCAGTGGACACTGGTTTGACTGGGTGAGTCTTTGTGACACCTTCGCTAGCTGAAAGATCTTCACTATCACTACTATTTGCTGAAGAACGAGAAAAAGAAAAGCACCAATAAGCAAAAGGTTAACAATGAATTTCTCACCAGTTCTGCTGTGTAATTCTACATGACCCTTTTGAATTAACTAAGTGAACGACCTGCCTAAAACCTGAAAACTCCCATACAAATCCAGTAGCATTCTAGTTAAGAAAACAACATAAATAATATCTTATCCTCCAATAACACACCTTTTAAATCATTCTACTAATCATTTATTACATGTGGTAGACTGTCAAATATACGGTAACATCTGAATGATTTTTTTATTCTATTATGTTAATATATAAAGTACGATACAGAGTCTTTTACAGATTCACGGTAAAAACTTCTTAAATGTACTATGTTAACTTATGTACATGTAATGTCTTCCTACTCCCTTGGCCACAAATAATGATGCATGATCATCATATTCAATTAAGAATTCCTTGGAGTAGGACCAGCAGACACCATAATAATAACATTGCTGGACTCCCATGTAGTTGACCACAGTTCAAGTCCAAGACCCGGCAGCTTACAACTCTTGCTGGGCGCATGTGCATATGTGCCCAAAATCCCAAGAGGAACTAGGAGGACTAGGGACTGCAGTGTGGCCATCCCCTCAGAGGGCAATTTCTCACTTTCTATCTCTGTGGTGAGCACAAGCACACTATAATAAAGATCTCTTTAAAAAAAAAAAAAGAAAGAAAGAAACGCCTTGGAGTGGGGGAGAGAATCTCTAAATTTTGAAATATATATTCCTTCTTTTTTTTTTTAAGAGGTTTTGGCCTTAATGCATGTGTGTTTGCCAGACAGAGAGAGAAACAGAGACAGTTAAGAGGGAAAGTGAGAAATCACTCCCTGGGAGGATGGCCATGTCCCAAACCCTTCCCTTCCATTCTCCTCCTGGCACGGTGGGAACATATGCACACATGCTCAGTCAGTTTCAAGCCACCAGGCCTGGGGCTCCAGTGATGTGACCACTGCGCCATCTGCTGGTCCAGATACATCTCTTCTAAGTAACTCCTATGTTGTAGCTTATTGGCTGAATTCAGCTATCATTTTACCCTGGATAAAATTCCACAGTTCAAGAAAAATTCAGAAGTCTCGGGGACCAGCAGGTGGCATGGTAGTAAATGTGCTGGACACTCCCACATAGCCAACCACAGTTCGAGTCCCGGACCTGGTGGCTTGCTGTCTCCCTTTCTCTCTCTCTCTCTCTGTGTCTGTCTCTGGCAAAATTAAAATAAATGTATGCAATTTTACCTTACTTTGTGTGTGTGTGTGTGTGTGTGTGTGTGTGTGTGTGTCTGGTCAAATGAAAATAAATAAATAAAATTAAATAAATTAAGAAAAGAAAAATTCAGAAGTCTCTATAATAATAATGTCACATCTACCCTTGCTAATTAAGCTTCGATAGTACTAGAATGGAAATATTTAACCTTGACAGCTTATCATATGAACAGGAGATGGGATCAGTATTCCCATAAATTATCTTTTTCTGGATACAAAGTATTATTTTAGAATCCACTAGCATTAATTCTTTTACTAAATTATTCTCAGAGAATGGTTAACTTATCTTGATTTACCAGGTCAAAAGCACAATAATTAAAATGGAAGAATAAAACCAACTGCTACATCTCTAAATTATATGTATGTATTAGTTGATTTGTTGAAAATAAGATCGCTCAGGAAATGTCATTTAAATGGTAAAGTCTTGAAGACAAAAATGTCATAACTTAAGAAAAGACAATGTAAACATTCTATCAGTTAGGACAAACGACTGATGACCAATTTGGCATATACTAATTGATTCTTCATTAAACATCAGACACCGAAAAAAAAAAAAAAAAAGGAAAAAAGCCTGAGAACTCCGGCAGTAGGGACATAGCACCTCCTCCCACTGTGGTGTTCTGGGGATGCAGAAAGCCCACCTGTCCTTCCACACAGCTCCTGCACCAGTCCTCCCCAGCCCCCGCTGCTGCTCTGAGCCCTGGCAACCCCGAGCCGTCTGCAGAGGCCTGCCTGGGCCTGGCTTCCATGGCCTTGCTGAGCACAGCCGCCTGGGGCCCAAGGAACACCACAGACACCGCCTGAAGTCACATGGGCTCAGCAGAACCTCAGGAACTGGCCGAATAACCCTGCTCTGCACTGAAGTGCAGCAAAGCCGGCGGTTAACAAGAGTGGACAGTGAAGACAGCAGGAGTCTCCTGGAAAAGCAGCAGGAGTCAGTGTGGAGCACCTGAAAAAAAACTCTCAGCAGATTTTCTGCTTTCACTTTGTCTACAGAAGACAGATAAACTGTGCAGCCCCCGGAAATTTAGGGTGTACATGTGCTCTAGGGTCAAAGAGCAGAGTGACTGCAGAAGCCACTCCTGGAGCACACTGAGTGCGAGCGCTGTCTGCAGCTGCTCTAGGCTCACACGGGCGCGCTACCAAGGACACACTTCCCAACCAGAGTGACGGGAATCCCAGCTCCTCAGCCATACTGATAGCTTACTTCTATGCCTTGAAGAACTGTTAAGCGATCGCTTTTGGTGTAGTAAGAACAGTATATACTTGAAGCATTTCACAGTGTGTGGTAACACAGCAGCGCGTGGGAAGAACTGCGGATGTAAAGGTAGCAAGGGTGCTGAGCGCATCAGTATTACCTGGCTATGGGTGTAAAGGTCGCCTTTTCATTTATCGGCAATCAGCATCAACAGTGAATAATATTAATTTGCTTAATCCTAGAATTAGTCTAGAATCAGGAAACTTCTGTATGACCTTTTTTTTTTGGAAGGTAGAGACAAAACCAAAACTTAAACCACCCACATTCTCATTATTCTTTTCTTAACAGGAGAAAAATTTGTTATTTTCACATTGTAAAAATAAGAGGTTTCAGGCCTAGCCACAGTGTGCAAAGCAGCAGGCCCTGCTACGGGGCCGTGACCTCGTGGAAGGCCCACTTCCATTCTGGCCCATCCCATGCAAGCCAGGGCGATGGCACACACCTTCTTCCTAGCAAACTGTGAAGCTGGGGCAAGAGAATCATGAGGAAGAGAGACCCTGTCAAAAACTACCTTCCTCTCCCCCTCCTCCTGCTCTTTCTCTTCCTCTTGTTTAAAAAAAAAAACAAACAAACAAAAACAGAGAGAGAGAGGTCTGGCACTTACTGCCTTTCCCCTTCTTTTTGCCGGGGGCCGCTGCTGCTTTATGGCTTCTTTTCTGCTTTTTGGATGAACTTCCTGTCAAAAACTACCTTCCTCTCCCCCTCCTCCGCCTCTTCTCTTCCTCTTGTTTAAAAAAAAAAACAAACAAACAAAAACAGAGAGAGAGAGGTCTGGCACTTACTGCCTTTCCCCTTCTTTTTGCCGGGGGCCGCTGCTGCTTTATGGCTTCTTTTCTGCTTTTTGGATGAACTTCCTGCACCCTGAGCATCTCTTCCTCTCTTCTGGCCTGTGCAGGCTACGATGGGAGAGACATTGACACAGAGGAAATGTCAGACATTTTCTGGGTGTAAACCAACGCCACATCTTAGAAGCACAGAATAATTCCAAACTATATGTTCTTTACGAGATTTATAAAGCACCACAGAAATTAATTGCAAACTTCTAGTAAACTATCATTAACAAAGCTGAATTCTTGAACATAATAAAAGTTGTATTTTTAAAATGCATATTAAGTATGCTCTACCTTGTTAGAAAAATCCAATATAAACTGAAAATAGTTCTCAATATAGTGATATATAGGTACTAATGGGTGTTTATACATCCAGTGATTCAAAAACAGGTTTATGCTAAAAAATAAAAACTGAAATTTGTTAAGATTCAATAAAACCAAGATATTAAGATCCAAAGACAGGTTAAAGTGTTAATAACATGTATATTATGTACTATGATGATATTAGTGTATTTTTAAGTGGGATAATGGTATTAAAGGTATAAATTTCAGCAGCAATTCATACATTTTGAACCAATTTATTTAAAAAATAACTTATCTCCCAGGGCACTGGTCAGTTAACACGTACAACTACAAATCCAAGTAGTTCTAAGAACCATCTCATCATCTTGGTGGAACGTCACCCCAAAATACTGTAAGTTAGCGTCTCCTTTCCTTCAAGCTCTCCACACCCCCTGAGACCTTTCCGCTGTCCCACAGCTGGCAGAGCAGCCAGGGCGAGAACTGCAGCGTCTCCTGCACTGCTCGCTAGACCTGGGACTCTTGCCGCTGCGTTATCTTGCTGGTGACACAGACTGTCTCTTAGACTGCGTGAACAAGCTATTTCTCTAAGAATTTATAAAATGCCATCTCCATTTGCTTCACATTATATAAATTAATATCATGATACAATTACACCATGTTTGCTACAAAAAGTGTTTCACAGTTCTGTTAACAATGTAAAATGAAACTTCAAAATACAAAACATGGCTTCTTCAGTAGAAAACGGGACAGGCTATCAACTGTCTGCAACCCCCTAGTTTTCTTTTTTTAATGGGACAGATGCTATTTGTAAGTTTCCGTAAGGTTATTTTAATGACACGGTTTAAGTGAAACATGAAAAAGATGATTAGGGTATTCACTGTATGAGGCACAGAATTTCCCTTTTTTAACGATTATACACCACAACCACGTAGGCTCTATTCCACGGAATTTCGCACCTATCGGGTTTCTTTCCAGGAGAGTATAACTATGAAGCTTCCAGATACTAAGAAATAAATTCTTCCTCTAGGCTAAATCAGAGAGGAAAACTCACTCTAAAGAGTATAGCTTACACTTTTGTTTCTAATGTCACGTGGATTCTCTAATATTCATAGTAGCGTAATGAAAATGAGGCCGGATGTAATAGTTGCTTAAGAATTTATTTCTAAAGAGACATAAACTCTTAAAAATACTTAGAATAATGCTTTGATTTGATAAAGTACAAGGTCTCTCTTACCCTAAATTTGGGAGTAGCTCTCAAGTTCTATATCCTTTAACCTAGTCAGGTTTAAGATTCAAAAGGACAGTGCACCTGGGTCTATCGGCAGACAAGCTTGAATTTAATCGGAACACAGACATGAGTTGATCATTAACTTGTACTGAGTTCATTTTAATTTTTAAAATATGAAGAACACGGTAAGGATACAACATATAAAGTATAATTATAAAAATCTGGGACCAGCAGATGGCATAATGGTTACATAGCTAGACCTCCACGTAGTCTATTACAGTTCGAGTCCCGGACCCGGCAGCTTAAAACTCACACCAGGCACATAAGCGTGCGTGCCCAAGGTCCTCAGAGAACAGAGAAGAGACTGCTGGATGACCATCCCCCCTAGGGGATTTCTCACTTTCTGTCTCTGTTTCCTGGCAAGCACACAATCCCTATAGCAAAAGTCGCTCTCTTAAAAAAAAAAAAAAAGAAAAAGAATATAATGATAAAAACCTTACCATATTATTGTTAAAAGCCTATCTAATCTTCTCTGATAAAGAAAAAAAACGTGTACATGTGGTCGAGACCCTGCCAGGGATGCTGCTTCTCATGTGTTTCTGCCTCTCTTATCTATGAGAGAAGTAAACTTTTTAAAAAAAAAAATCTTTAATTTTGCAGATTCTTCTTCTGTTCATGCCTGGATAATTCAGTTGCATATGAGTCTGACACCCAAACATAATCACAGCGGCTGTACTTACAAATGTGAGAAAAAAAGAACATCTCACACCCCAGTTTAATTACAACTATAGTTGTTACTAAATTATTGTAAAGGGAAATGTATTAAGCAATCTGTGAGAAAACAAGGCAGTAACTAGCCTATCACAGACCACCTCTATGCTCACTTAAACACCTAAAGCTGGCACCCTAAAACCAGACGCAGCGTATAGAATGCATGCCCTTGTGCACTACCTCACCACGGGAAGTGGGCTTCAGAACCAGGTGTCACTCTACACTAAACAGAGGCCCAGAAGCCCGTGAGACAACGACGAGGCCATGCCAAGGCGCCTCACAGGCACTGCCACTCAGGGAAGAGCTCAACTAAATTTCCACTTGAACAGCTTCACGGAAAATCAACAAGAATTCCTGCAGGTTATCAACACACACAGTGGTCCTCTGATTTGGAAGTCACACATCCAAGAAAGCATCAAATTCCTTTACAAACCACACAAGTCGCTCAAGCCTGAAAATCAGTTTGACACGGCTGTCTAGGAAAACAGAGCCCGGACAGCTGGCTGCGCCAAACCCCTCCCAGTGCTTGGTCAAGGTGGACAGGCCTGTCACTAAGCCAGTTTGTGAAAACTGTGCAGGACAACTGCACAATGACGCTACCGAGGTATATTTAAGCTGCTTGTGCATATCGCTGACCCATGCATATTCCTGCCAGTCCACTCAAGACTTTTCAGGGAGGTCTGGGGCGGGGCGGGGTGCGGCCTGCAGGGTATAGGTTCTGCGGTCTGCCAGTAAAGTGATGGCTGGCCCAGGACACAGCACGAAAGCCTCCTTACACTTCCAGACACATGACTGCACTTGCCCGTTACTCAAACCTCCACCTAGACATGTTCTCACCAGGATAGCACCCACAGGCGAGAGACTGAACCTGATGCTCCAGGGGCCTGTGAGCCAGCGGCACAGACTGGGCACAGCCCAGGGCCCTCACCTTTTTCGGGTTGCTCGACCTCCGGCTGATTGCTACTGCTGGAGCTCACGCTGGCATCAAAGCCCGCGGGCGAGCTCGTGCCCTCGGACTGGAGGTCCTGCAGCTCCCCGGCGACGCTGTCTACCTCGATCGTGCTGTCCGTCTCACTCTTGATACTCCGGACCTCTTCTTGGTTTGCAGCCAGCGGTTCTGAGGCTGTGACCGAAGACAGCTGCCGGCTGGCTTCCGTGACGGTGACCGAGGAGGGTGACTCTGGTGTAGTGGGAGGGGTATTCAGCACGGAATTACTGCCGCTACTCGGGAACTCCGCTTTTCTGTCACCAGCCTCCGCTGGCTTTTCTGCAGCGGGCTGCCCACCGGCCACGACCGTCAGGGCCTTCCCCGGTTCTGTGGCCGGCGAGCAGCTCTTCTCCTCCACCGTCTGCAGCGGGTCCTGCGCCCC